GCTGGAGGGCATGGGGTTTGAAGGGGGAGAAGGCAAAGGAGGAGGCATCAGACATGACTGGAAATTTCCTTAGAGGCATTTTACAAAAGCCACTTTCTCCTCTCTCTCTAAGTACAAATTTAACTGTGTACTTGGCAGCAACTCTTTGGCTTTCCTATTTAGGAGTTTAAAGCCTTTAAAATTTCTTACCTCTTGACCTGACAAGAGCCAGGGAGGTAGGCAGGCAGCAAGATTTAAAAACTAGGTGATGAATTAGATCCTCATTTATCTGGGCAGGCAGCAGCATTTAATTCAGCAACTTATTAAACTTGTTTTTGTGTTTTCTTTGCAGTGTCTAATTCTGGTGTACTGAACTCAGATATAGGACATACCTCTTGAGTTATTTTTCCTTAATGCAATCAAATCATGAGAGCTACTTTACACAAAAATTGAAACAGTCCAGATTTTTTTTGTCCTTCTAAAATGTCTGTATAAATAGGCTCTGTAAAGAATAGCACTCAGAACATAAAAGAAAAAAATGAAGCCTAGTATAATTTCCTCTTAGTGATGCCTAGAATAATTTCCTCTATCTCTGTTTTGTAATTTGTCTGTCTAGCAAGCAAATCTGTTAATTTGGCTAAAATTATGCATTTGCTATGTTATAAGGAGTAAGCAGGGCCCAGAAAGATTGAGAAAATGTATTTAGGGATAGGGTGGATTTACACAACGACAAACAAGACTGCTTCTCAAACTGTACATATGGTGTTCTCAAATGGAAAGAAGAGTTTCTCACTGAGAAAAGAAAGAGCTTGAACCTATTTAGCTCAGATGGGCTTTGTCAGCTGGTCAAGTTAACATAGTCCTCTTAATGTATCCTGCTTTAGGATTGCTTGGTTTGGGAAGAGGGGAGTACAATCTTGGGTCTTCTGAACCATGGCTAGATGTGCTGTGTCCATCCAAACACTCTTTTCCTTAGTGATCCTTGTTTTGGCAACTCTATCCTTTTCTCAGTTCACTTATCACTGCTTGTTTGCAAAAGGTCTGCTTATAATTGCACAGTCCTGGAAGGTATATATTAGCTTCCAAATAGGGACTGCGTAGCAGCTCTAAGTAAGAGATTTAGGACACGAAGGGCATATGAAGCTGGTGCTGTGCTGGCATGGAACAGTCCTGACACTGGCCTTTCTCTTGTATGGCCATGAGCAGACAGCCAGAGAGGGGGAGAGAAGGAGGAGTCAGATGCTTCATCCTGAAAGGACATTAGGAACAAAATCACTTACAGTGAGTACAGTCGGCAGATGCCGGCTTTTCTGCTCCTTTATCTGAGAGAGAAAATTACGGAGAAAGGCGAGATATAGGCAGTTTTGATAGTTGTGTAGCTGGCATTTTTGCCTTCTGATTTGGTCTAAGAATGTGCTCTTGATTTAAATGTGTCTGTTTATTCAAGTCAAATGCATTCTGCTAATGTCAGCTTCGACTCAAACTTATGGACTGTCAGAGAGATAGCAGAACCAGTTCTTATTAATAAGCAATCATGGTATGTTTTCTTATGTTCTTATAGGATGAGAGAGTAAGATGGGAAAATCCTCCCAAAAAGCAAGAAGAAATGAAAACTTTAAAATTGATATCGATTTCAGCTTTTTTACTTTAAAGATTGCCTTTTTAGTTTTGTGGAAGGATTTGATGTGTGTTATTTTTAACAGCAGCTAGGATAAAGGTGGTGTTAGTGCTAATGCTAGAAAGGTGACCACAGATAAGCATTTGATAAGGGGGAAGGAATGAGGAAGCCATCGGGTTCTGAAAAGCTGGTTGATCACTCCTCTCACATCTTAGAGCCAGTTATAACTTGGGGGGTACCGGTGTACGCTTGGTCGTGCTTTCATTTGTATTGTCAGAGATTGTTAACTAGTGACTTTTTTGCTTATTTCAATTCCTTTGAGATTGGGAGGAGTCTTTTCCTCTACAAAGTGATTTGTAAAGAAAAAGCACAAAATTTATAGTACTTAGAAGCACAGATTTGTGTTGAATTTCCTACTGTTTGCATTTAAAAAGAATAATTAACTTCATGGGAATACAAGCTTGAATGATCCTGATAAGAGCAGGAAAAATACCCACACTCAGAAGCATTTTTCCTTGAATTATAAATTTATCTTTAAATCAGATGTGATTTTACAAAAATCAGAGTATGACCATCCATGGGTGCTACATTTACATGAGAACTACTAGAATTGAAAAGCAAATGCTTATACTAATTGCTTTCCACAAAATTGGGTAATACACTTTGTGCCACCTCCCAGGCTTGCTAAACTGTTATGACAGGAAGCTCCTTTCTGACAAAAATGTATGCAAAGGAAAGGAAATAGACAAAAGTTGAGACAAAACTTAAGTAAAGCACTGCTTTGCCTAAGTTCTCTGGGTTATAGAAGCTCCTTTGCTTACAATCTGATCAGTTAAATGTGGAAACATCACATCCAGGTTGAAATTTTATAGAGGCAGGAAAAGTTTAACTTGGTTTCAGGTTTCCTGATCCTTTTCTCATTTGTGATGTGTGCCCTATCCACTCTAGTCACATTTTTGTTTCTTTTATGTATATATATATATAACCACACCTATGTTGATAGTCTGAAGTGGCAAATTTCTAAAGGGGAGAATTTCTCATATTTGTTCTGGGAAGAATCAGCAATCATAATATATAAATAATGATTTATAAATTTTTTTCATGATAATTTCTTTCTATTAAGTAGGACAAGTCTATTGATGTTGTTTGCATGCTTTGGTAAAATGGAGGGCCATCATTCAGTAACTGCACAGCTCTCAGCACATGAGGAGACCTTGAAATCTTTGGATTAATAACTGGAGCAGCCACAGATTCTTAGGGCCAGATGAGATGTGATTGTTCATCTAATTCAATCTTTTCATTTTGTATATTAGAAAATGTAAAGTTTTTCATCCACGTCACATAAAACTGTGCTATGCTTACTCAGTGCATAGCCTGATGGTCTGTGTGGGAATGTTGTAGGTTACGTTAGGACATAATTCTTTGGTTTGTTCTTACTTCACAGTAGGATGTGTATCCCAGAGAAGGCCCTTGATTTAGAATTGAAAAAAATGAAAAATAAAAAACCCCACAGTTCCTGCAGGGCTCTTGGGCAGGGGTCTGGGGGCGAGTGTATAAATGTAGGCGTACCTGAAACAGTTCACTATGCACAACTCTGGCATTTAGTTTTCTCCTTAGATGAACCTAGTTTCATAGAAGAGGGAAGCAGTGTGAGATCAGTGTGTTCTTCATTTATAACCATCTCTACATCTTGAACTAGAAACTGTCATTAACCTTTGTGTATCATATTTCTTCTCTAGGACTGAGATTCTATACTGATTCCCCAGAAGGGAGTGAATTTATTACTAATTTAAGCATTTTTGGAAATTTGAAGTACAGCCTGTCTGATGTTGGGGTATGGTTTATGAAGAAGTAGTTTAGTACCTCACTGTTCCTGAATTTATATCCCTTCCAGTGAAATTTTGCTGTCTTCTAATTACTTTGCTTTTAGTAGCCAGGTCTAGTATTACTGTTATTTTAAAAGACAAATCCAAGGATGGTTAAAAATATAGGGTGCGACTTTCTCCCTCTTGCAATCAGGCAGAGAAAGTTGTAAAGTTAAAGCCTGAAGCCATTTTCTAAGGCAGGCACCCAGAGTGATAAATCTACTTTATGACATATATTTTGCTTTTTGCAAATGACTCTGCTTTTAAAAATTCATCTGCAAATCTCTTTATCATTTGTTTCAAAAGTTAGATGCTCAAGAAATTAAGAAAGGGGATTATAGAGTAGTATTGAATGGATTCTGAAATAATACGGAGAAACTTATTCTTAAGGCTATTATCAGTTCAACAAGTTTTTTTTTTTTTTATTACCTGTGCCCATTCCTGTATGGATAGTTACATGCTCTTAGTCAAATTGGAAGTTGTGTTGATTTTTCCCCTTATTTTTATAGATAAAAATAATTTTGCTTTTGTTACTAATATTAAGAATCTAAAGAAATTTATTTTCTTGTGTTTCAAAGTAATTTATTACTCTTAAAATTCCAGATACCTCTAAAAATTTCAATATAACTGAATATTATTATAATTTGGGTTGAACATTGATCTATTTGATATAATTCATGACTTATCCTTTCCAGGAAAGTAAAGGTTTGAAATTACCACGATACCTATTTATTAAAAAAAGTCTCGGAAATCAGCACCATTTGAAATTAGCACAATGTGGTAATTAGTTCATCTTCCTTCCTTAGCTGTCTATCTATTGAAATATTGTTATGGTTAAAATGATGTTCGGATGCTTAATGTAGGAGAGCTCAAAATAATGCTGCTTAAGCAAGAAGTTGAAAGCAGCAGTCAATAATACTGGTACAACAGCTCTTTGTCACCATGTGGGACCTATATGCCTTCCTCTGTGCTCCACTATCCTCTACTAGATATACTCAAACGCATTTCTGGGTTTGGGTTGGCAACTGGAGTTCCAGCCATCAAGTCTACATTCCAGGCTGGAAAGGGGGTCAATCCCTAGGTAAAAGTCAGCTTCTTTAAGCAGTTCTCTCAGAATTTCTACATAGCAATTTGCTTATTTCTCATTGGCCAGAACTTAGCCACACAACTACATTAACTGAAAGGAAATAGGGAATGTAGTTTTAAACTTGGGGCAGGAATATTTACAATTAAAAACCAGTACCTTGTCACTAAGGAATGAGAGGAAAATGAATATTTGGTAGAAAATATCACTATCATTTTGTGTTCTTTTTATAAGCTGGGTTTTGAGGCTACCATGTAGAAAATCAAAATACCTCTTTTTGTTTTTGTTACGAGCAATGGTTTCTTAATTTAGAAATCTGGCTTAATTTAGAAATCCTGTTTCTTCTATGAAGTATCATTTCTTTATTTGGCAATCTCTCTGACTCTTGCTTTCTTTTTTCCTTTTGCCTTTCAGCTGTTTTGGAAAGAAGTAAGGTTTAGACTTCTCCATGTTAACCATGAGTGTGACACTTTCCCCTCTGAGGTCACAGGACCTGGATCCCATGGCTACTGATGCTTCACCCATGGCCATCAACATGACACCCATTGTGGAGCAGGGAGAGGGAGAAGAGGCCATGAAGGACATAGATTCTGACCAGCAGTATGAAAAGCCACCTCCACTCCACACAGGAGCTGACTGGAAGATTGTCCTCCACTTACCTGAAATTGAAACCTGGCTCCGGATGACCTCAGAGAGGGTCCGGGACCTGACCTATTCAGTGCAGCAGGACTCAGACAGCAAGCATGTGGATGTACATCTGGTTCAACTAAAGGTAAGGCTTAGGTCTCTCAGGTCAGTCCTCTGAAAATGACTGTGCTCTGTGATTGACAATGAGGAAAGATCCAGAAAGAAAAATAGAGCAATAAGTTTGAAGCTGTTATTCTTAAAGGTGAACATGGACAAAATTAATTCCCTTCTGGTTTTACTTCCTGTGCCATTTATTCAGAATAAAACTGTCCTTCGGTGATAGAGCAGAGAGGAGGAGAAATAGGAGGGGTATTTTTGTGCGATGTCATCAGAATCACTTATAAAGAATAAAAGCATTTAAAATGTTTAATAAGAGACACAGGTAAAACATCAAGCTAAGCAGTGATTGCAAGCATATGCATGTGATTATTCTCTTCTGCTGAAGCTTATGCCTGTCTTTGTGGCAAACAGGATTTTGGAATGGTGAGGAAGGGCAGTGTTCTGCTGTTAAAATCCTTTCATCCAGATACAATGCATCATGCAGAACACAGGTACTTTTGTAACAACTCGTCTAAAGTTCACACATTGTAAAAATGTCTGTGGCTTTTAGAAACCTTGTAAAAAGTCTGACTGCTGGCAATAATGAATTGATGTGTGAGTTAAACAGTGCTTTTAATGGAAATTTTTTTGCCTAAGAACCCCAAAGTATGTACTGTGAGATCTGTCCTGCTATCTGTCTCTCTCTCCCAGGTCCTTGAGAGAAATACATACTCAAGTATTACCAGCAAAATAAGATAGATTTATAACCCATCAGGACATTGGCTCCAAATCCCTATGTAAATTTCTAGACAGTTAGATGGGCTCCTAAGTAAAATCCTGTTACCTAAACTGGTTCTTCGTAATTGTTCTGAAACAAAAGCCTAAACAGATTCTTGGATCTTAACACTTTAATTATTTACAACATGTACACTTACAAGATGTACAGAAGAAAGATGGAACATAACCCCATTGCAGAGAGAATAAGCCCCATTGCTTGAAGCAGATCTGGCTCAGCCTTTTCAGACTGGTTCAATAGATCTTGGGCCAGGCTGTTCAAGATAGGGAGGAGCCAGGTACTAGTGGGTCAAGTCTATAATCCTAGCTGCTTGGGAGGCAGAGATCAGGAAGATCAAGTTTTGAGGCTAACACCAGGCAAATAGTTTGCCAGACCCTATCTAAAAAATACCCCAAACAAAAAAGGACTGGTGAAGTGGTTAAAATAGCAGAGTGCCTGGCTAGCATGAGGCCCTGAATTCAAACCCCAGTACTCCAAAAAAAAAAAGAGAGAGAGAAAAAAAAAAAGGAGATAAGGGAAGGTAAGGGAAAGGGAGAAAGAGAGAGAACAGAAGAGTCAGACGTCATAGGTGTCTAGGATTCTCCTAGGTTGAGTTGACCTGGAGTGTCCTTAGGTTGTTAGGAAGAACACGCCTGAGTAAATGAGAGATGACTAGGAGACAGCCTCCACAGAATACAAGTACCATCAGCTTCCTATTGTGGCAGCAGGACGTGTTGTAGCTCAGTCCCTGAAACATGGCTCATTTATTCGGAGGAGCACCTCTCCAACACCTTGGGGTTAGAGTAAAATAGAAATTATGAGGCTCTGCTTTGCCCTTTTTGTCCCCTCCAATCCTACACTAATGTATAGTTCCCATAAATAGATACAGGGCTGGGCCTGAAAGGAAAGTCCCTATTACTCTCCAGAACCTTTCACATTTACACAGAAAAGGTGATAATGATCAAGGAGAATGAGGCAAAATAGATATCATCTTTAGAACGCTCAACTGAAAACACTGTTCAGGGCTCTTAAAAATATCAATTAACTTCATTTTATTAGATCACTAATGTGGAAGTGAATATTTTAATTTTAACTCTAAATAGGAATGTAAAATTTTTGTGCAACTAATGCAGGGTTATATATCTTCAGTGTTTGAGAAATTACCTATGTAGCAATTTTTCTTATTGTAGCTGCCTATCATTTTCTTATCGTGGTCAAAAGATATCTCATACCTATCCCTATCTACTCTATCCCTGAGTATGATATCTTTCCCTTGCTGAGAAAGGATTTACAGGGGATGTGAGGTCAAAACAGTAACTGCATATGGTTAGTCAATCAATGACTGTTAGAGTGATGAATTAAAATTATTTTACCTTCATTTCATTCTAGAATTTCTATTATTACTTTTTTGGGGTTCTTATTTCACTGTTATTTAAATTGACATTCATTGTAATGTTCACAAACATTTTTCCCAATGTTCTCAAACATTGAGACCAACATCAACAAGTTCTGGTCAATGTGTGCAGCTTCTAGAAGGGTTATACACAAAGAGTTTAGTTTTCTTTTAATGTGCTTAGTTAAGTTTCCCTTTTATTTGTGTAATATTTTTTCATTCAACCAAATTAAGCATTTAGAGGCAATTTTAAGAGATTTCTACATTGAGCTGTAAGAATAAAGGGAAACTTAGCATAGTGTCTTATATGTGGAAACACAACAAGACAATCTTGTAGAAACAGCTATCAAATGAGTTGTGGCAAAGCAGAGGTCTAGGTCCACCTTGGGCAAGGTCAGCTATCTGCTATGAGGTTTCTCAGCTTGGCTCCCACAATTTTAATGAGTTACTCAATTTACTCATTTACGGTGAAAAGTAATAAGCAATCATGGGATGGGAATGGCTATGGCTTTAAAAAACCACCTAGGTGCAGATAAATTTATATATCTACCCCAATGTTTTTCTGATGATAGGAGCCCAAGTTGCCTAGCGACATCTCCACTTATACCTTAGTAGGCATCTCAAACTGGACATGATCATTGAAGAGCTCTTAATCCTCCCCCAATCTTCCTAATTTCAGTAAAAACCACCACTCATTGCCTAGCTAAATCATGATTTTCTGCTCCATGTATATGTCTATCAAAAAGGGAATCCATTCCCCAAATATACCCTAAAGTCATTCACTTCTACCCAATAGTACAGCAACCACCCTACTTAAGCCATTGCTTTCCTGGCTACTTTTTTTTTTTTCCTTTTGTGGGATTGGGGTTTGAACTAAGGGCTTTGCACTTTGCAAAGCGGGCTCTCTACTGCTTGAGCCACACTTGCAGTCCATTTTGCTCTGGTTATTTTGAAGATGGAGTCTTACAAACCATTTTCCCAGGATGCAACCCTGGGAATGCTGAGTAGAACTAAGCTTCTAGCATCAATAGTTGAGAGCTTGGAGGATTCTGATCTTAACATGACCACATGTTAAAATCTAAAGCACTCCTCTGAGCAGATATACTACATCCTAAATAAGATTAAGGGAAAAATAGCTTTGTTCCTGGGAGAATAGGTATTTCCCTTTCTGCCCTTGAGTCATGATTTTTCCAGAAGTCACAAACCATTAATTAATTGATTGATTGTAAAATCAATTTAATGAATTACAGAACTAAAACAATGAAGCAGGATAGAATCACATGAAATAAGGATAAATGCTACTTTGCAAAACTTTTTAAGAATTATATATATTTATAAGCTTGGTCATAATATAAATTTATGTCTGTCTGAGTCAATACCAGAGCAGTTTTTGATAGTTATTGTTTAAGATCATTCTCAACTTTCCTCAATATCTTATTATACTTGAATATATTATTCAAGTAAAATTTAATTTGTTGCTATGTTGTATAACATTATTGTTTTGTGTTCTATGTGGCATTAAAGCTTACATGAAATATCATTTAATTAGCAGTACCAAAGATATACTCCAAATCCAAGTTAACTAAACAATGAAGCTGATTTATCTGTTAATAAGTTGAGAACTAAAATTTTTATTTTCTCCAAGCTCAGACTTGTGGATATAATCTCTTTTTTGGTTGATGTGTGCTATGGTCTGAATGTGGCTCCCTCAAATTCATATGTTAATGTCTCAACTCCCAAAGTGATGGAATTAAGAGGTGGAGGTGGAGGTTTTAGGAGGTAATAATGTCATGAGAGCCCCACCCTCATGAATGGGAATAGAAACCTTATAAACCTTATAAGGGTTGAGGGAACTAATCTCCTCTTTTGCCACGTAAGACACAGTTAACAAGGTGCCATCTTGGGAGCAAAGTGCAGGACCTCACTAGATACCAATTCTGCTGGTGTCTTGATCCTGGAGATTTTCTAGTATCCAGAACTGTGAGAAATAAATTCCTATTATTTATAACTAACTCAGTCTAAGGTATTTTGTTATAGTAGCCTGATAATGTGTTTTCCTTAGGGGGGTGTCTTCTTAGAAAAGCTGGATATTGTTGGCTAGTGTGTTGGGAGTGTGGTTTTACTTTGGTATTTATTAATGGAAAAGTTTTCCCTATAATTATCACTAGTTTGCTATGAATAACATCTGGTTTTATTGACCAATAGGACTGGGCTACATACCAAGTTTGAGGCCACCCTGGGCATCTTACTCAAAGTAACATTAAAAAAACAAAAAATAAAAAATGGTCTGGGGATATAGCTCAGTGGTACAGTACTTGGCTAGCATGTGTAAGACTCTGGTTTCAATTCTTACCACTGAAAAAGAAAGAATATTCCATGTTTGAAAAGCTAATGTTAGATATTCAGAAGACCCAATTATGTGGGAAAATCTCTCAATTTATTATTGAGTAATTATATCAACTTCCTCACTCCCTACACATCCATTACTGGAAGAAAACTAACTGCTAAATGAATACTTTTTGATTATTAAATGATAAATATATTTTCATCATGATTTCAGGAGACAATCTAAGTTTCAGACCTAGCACCTTTTTTTTTGAACTACATATAAATATTATTGGTTAAGACATGGGACAGAGGGGCAACATGGAAAAATTAACTTTGGTGGCTTCTGACACATTATTATAGAAGATCTTTGGGTATGCTTAAACTTCAGCCACATGCACTAATGTATTTAGATTTCAGAATAGGAGCATTAATTGTTAAGCTGACTCAACAAGTCTACCAGATTGTCGAGCTGTGCAATTTTTAATTAGCTTAGAAATTGATGATTATCACAAGTTGCATAATTTGAAAGAAAGCATCAAAATAAAATTTA